TAATAATTTACAAATGTTTGAAGGGGTGCAGCCTTTCCCCTCTACCGCTCACGCCTGCGCAGAGCGAGATGATATCTAACATTGTTGCTAAGAAATAAAGACTCGGTTCGCATCCTCTTCCGTTCCGTTGTTTACAAATAAAATGTAACGATTGCAACACATGGTCAAACAAGCAGTAAAATTGGCAAATTAATTTCACAATATATAGAGGGTGACTGCGAAATATATGCAATAATTTTAACCACGGCATCCCCCATCCTAGTAGTGTCCAAATATAGAAAAAGACAAATTAAAAATCGAATGGGGCAAAACCCCCACAAACTAACTGTTTCATCCAACCGATTCACATTTATCGAAAACCGCCCCTTGAAATCGTACTTGTTGACGACCATATGAAGTTTCAGCGGACAAAAAATGAGTGTTGTCGCTGTTGAACACAACATTGCGTTTGAATCTTGCTTCATCCGTAAACAGAATGCGCTTTAAAAAGTTAGGGCGTTCACGACACTGCGGTAACAACCAACTGCAGTAAATTACACAACGTGGACAATCAGCGGTCTCCAAACCTTGCACTTTGTCCTGTGGAATTCCAACTTCTTCTTTATGTTCTATCATGGCCACGATCGTGAGTTTGAGGTTGAAGATACCATGATCTCGGAGATGCTGTACTGTAACCTCATTTGAGATACACCTGTTAAAACTTTTATGACTTAAGCGGCTTAAGCCAAAGACCCTTATAAGTCAAACCGGCTATTGTAAGCTTTGTGAATCCGAACTGCATGATTATTACTGTCCATTGTTGGCATAATGTAGCTGTGAACTGAGTTAAGTAATAGAAGAGACAGTTTGACTTATAAGGATGGGATGGCTTAAGCCGCTTAAGTCATAAAAGTTTCAACAGGTGTATGTCAAATGATCCAAATTTTCGCGCTGTTGTGAAATATCCTGTTTAATTGGGGTTGCTGCGGCAGTATGTGCAAGCGTGGTTAGGAAGAAGCGAGTCCGAAGTCAGGCTGAGTTGTATTTCCTTTTCCGCGATTGCTGAGTTCAATCAAAATTAAGGAGGTCGTGTCATTACTTCGCAACTATGGCCGGTCACATGACTATAGTTGTCAGTATATAACTTTTGGCTCGCAACCTGAAGAAGTTAGTTGTATTTGTATTTGTAGTTGAAAAAGTAGTTGTAGTTGTAGCAGACAAGTGATAATTGTAACCAACACCCGTACCAGCGACATTTTCTTCCAATAAATTTGGTATACTGCCCAATCTGTTTCAATTGCCAACCCCTACGCGCAACAGCGCACACCAATTACCATACCGAGACACTCTGCATTGGAAATCTGTACCATACACCGATTTCACCGACTGCTCGATGTTGACTGGTCCTTTTCACGTTTTTCACGTTGCGATTAAAAAAGTGTCTGATAAAGTCACTTTTTTGGTTCTTAATCCAAATCGCTCTGTGCCATTCATTGTAGTAATTATGTAGGTCACCAAACATACCATTAAGTATAAAAATTTATATTTAATTTCAAATAATTTTTTCTAGACACTGCTACCACTTAGGACCGTGAATTGTACACAGTGACATAATCGTATTGTGAGCTATTCCCATTTTTTTTGCATGTATTTCGCAATCACCTTGTATGTTAACCCAGGCATAACAAACACAAACTCTATTTTTGCCAACCATATTTTAGAAATCAATCATTCCTTTCATCCGGTAAATAATGTCGAAGTCCTACACATTTAAGACAAAAGCACTGCTCTTAACTTGTTTGAAATACTCAAAACTTATAAGTCAGTTAAACATCACATTTTAAATAGTGTTAACGAGGAGACTTCTTTCAATGCATCCATCCTGTCACCTCTTTTAACGATCCCTTCCTCTACACCTAAGTTTATGTCTAATTCATCTCATCCTGTTCTTCGTACTTAAGTTTTTGTATACGTACCTGCTGCATTAGTTAATACGGTCTGTTCATAACTGTAGGCCCATTGTTTTTTCCGATTTTAATGAGGGTCGGTGGGTGCATTTTAGTTTGATTATTTTATGTTGGTTGGATGATACTTACTGTTTGTTGGTGTCAAATCTGACATTCAAATTAAAATTTTAATCAAAACATTAACGCGCTGATAGTAGTTATTTGAGAAGTCAACTTATTATTGTTCGTTGTTTTTCTTTTTGATTTTGTTTTATGGTGTTTTTGTTCCGAGTGTGAGGTTCGCGAGTGAGAATGTTTGGTTTGAGCCAAGAATGATTTGGCTGTTTTTGTTGTCCGGGCAAGGCACTATGAATGAGTTTCTGAATAAAAGAGGACTAAGTGAAACGGATCTGTGTGGTTGCGGTAGGGTAGAGAGTGTTTGGCATATTGTTTTCGAGTCTGGATTGTATGATGTGGAAAGAAGGAGTTGTGAATGGTCAGGATGGATTGGGGAAGAGGAAAGACGATTTGAGAGGTTGTTGGAATCAATGGAGATGTCTGAGAGATAAATGGGATTTGCAGAAAGGGTGTTTAAGAAAAGGAGAAGGATGAGAGAGGGTGTGACTGAGTGAGATATGGGAGTGCGGGTAGAGAAGGACGAGTGAATGAAGGAAGAGTGAAGTATGAAAATAGAAGTACCGGCACTGTAAAATAAATGGAATGTGTGTGTTAAAATACACTCACCGGCTCGAAAAAGGACTTTTATTTTTTTTATAGATCCGAAAATGTGCACAATTAAGTACGAATTCGCTTGCAATACTTTGATGTTGTCATGCAACATTTATTGTAAAATTTGTATGCCAAAAAGAACTAAAAAATATATTATTTTAATAGAAAATAATAAAAATTCAATATTCAAACAAAGCTGAAAAAAATTAAAGTTTCCAAAAAAGCAAAATCAATGATCATTGACACACTGTTTAAGGATGTCAATAACAGGTATTCCCCCCACGAACCTGTAAGACTACTACCATTCTCCAGGGCATCCCATCAAATAAATTGTCTATTTATTCTTGTTGGATTCTCTCATTCCTTTAAAAACATATTCTGAAGCTCATCTAAAGTGTGAGATGCAGGTACACTCAATTAATATAAGAAACAATATCAAAAATAAACTTAGTAAAAACGTCGAAGCACTGTACTCAGAAAAATATTAGCTGGCCGGGTTTTCATGCCGGTGAGTGTATAAGTGAACAGTAAATTAATAACTTAATTTAAAGTCAGAAGTAAAATTATTTTTCTGTTCCTACCTATTTTCACGAATGTACAAAAAGATATAATTGTGTTGTTTTTGTAATAATTTGATAAAATTCCATTTGAAAACAATATTTGCCTGATATAAAGCGAAGATACAAATCAGCAAAAATCAGGTAAGCACTTAAAAATGTCAAACTTTTCGAAACCCTACGTTTAAAATGTTCTCAGTTAATTTTAGGTCCCCTGGGTCAAAAGAGTCTAGTGAAGTTGCACCGGAATTATTTTGTACATATCGGTGTAACAGTTAATCGCGTAAACTCGAGTTATTAAGAAATAAATTGTTGAGTTTTACCTACGCCAATTTTTAAATACCCGTTCAACGTAACAATGTTAATAAAAAAACAACTGATTTTCAAATTTTCTGAAAGGTAGATAGATGGCAGACATCAGACGGAAACGGGAGACCATTTTTTTTTCGTACTTTAGGGGTTATGAAACGTCGAGAAATCATGTAAGTTGCCATTCGTCGGATGGACCCTGTTTCAATAAATACTCCCTTTGATTACGCTCGTAAAGTAAGAAATAAAAAAAATATTTAACAACTCTTCTTTATTTTTCGAATTACAAATTGCGCAACATAATTAGAAATACTTATTATTAAGATCTGGAAATTGGATAAAAGTGACTATTTTTATTTTTTAAGGCACGTCAATGAAACTTGAATATAAATTACATTTGAGTGAAATAAAGTAATTGGAGCATTATTTTTTCGGGATAAACTGCCTAACATATATGTTAAGTGCCTATTTCGCCTTTAAAGCTCCTAAATATCCCTAAAATTATATAACAAAATATCTGGAAGATGTGATCTACATGCCGATTCATTTCACAAAATAAAAAAGTGTTTGTTGGAGTGTTCGTTAGAATAGTGTTGGAATTTTTAGTTTAGTTTGATGCTTTGTGTGAATGAATGATTGTTTTGTTTCTTAATTTTGTAGTTTTAGGGTATATTTTGCTGTTTCCAGGTTGGGAATTAATATATTATTATTAAGACCCACCACTGACCCGGAAATGACCGGCATTCATTATTATTATTATTGCTAAAACTTTGATCATTGAAATTTGGATTTTTTGCTTGAAATCTAGACTTTTAGACATGTTTCGATATCGACTCAAAGATTGCAACCGGTTATTGGTGTAATAAAGATACACTAACTTCTTGGAAAAGTCTACCAGGCCATGACGATCTGCGAATTTTCTGGCCTATACATCTATTTCAGTCACTAACGTAATGCTAATAATTTTTGTTTTCGAAAAATAGGTATAACTTCAATACTTAAAATGCCTAATGCCTATGTTGATTTATGTGTACGTTTTTTTGTAATTTATATGTGAAAAAAGGCACTTATATCAGCACAAACAAACTCGTTGGGCTCATGCTTTGAATTTATTGGCTTACAAAATTCAACATCAATACGAAAATGTAAATATTTTGATATCTAATGTTAAGCATTTTTTGTCAAAGTGGAAATTCACAAGGAAAAGTTAAAAAATTGACCCCTCCCACATGAACCTGTTTTAACTAGCTGGGTAACATGGCTTAAGACGACTATGTTTTACAAAGAAGATTTCGATTCCACCCAGCAGCAGTAAGTAAGTAAACTATTCTTATGAGGTTGCTCCCATCACACCATATGACGTAGAACGAATATTTTCTAAATATGAGGCCATTTTTTGTTGAAAACAGAAAACTATTATAGCGAACAGTTTAGAGGAATATATAAAATATAATGATTATAAACAAATCAAAAATTCAATCTACGCAATGAAGTTTCAGTTGCCTAAAATTGTCTAATTCTTTAGAGAAATACTTTAGGCACCTATTATCAACATTTTAACTGCCTAAAATTCAGAACTGATTTATTATACATCTACCTAAACATTCTTAAACAGATTCAGGGTCTCGGGCGTTTTGAAGCTGAACGACAAACGTCAAAGCAGATACGAAAGCTCCCAAAATCTGGAACAAAAAGAATAATAAACTCTAAACTGAGTTTTATTGCTGCTAGTCATATCCTTTGTAATTTTAATTTAATGTATCGGCAAATAAAAGAAAATAAATAATCACTTACATCAACTGCTAACTGATAATTCAATGAAATGTTCTCACTAAAACTGATTTTAAACGGTTTCTGGGCATTTATAAGATATATGAGATAGGTTTTTTTGTTGGCTTGACTCCAGTGGTACCACTTAACTCGCACAGATGTGTCGAATATTTCGTCCGACTAAAATAAATTCATTAGAAATATTTATACAAATTCTATTCTGTTTTATATTAATCACCAAATCTTCAACAGATTGTCCGCATGTCGTGAGCGCAAATAAGGTAAACAGTGAAATAGATATCAAGCTAATAAGTCGCAGAATATCCCAACTTAACGAAAATCTTCCAATCTACAATTTAATTGAATTAGACAGTATAGAGATTGGTGCACGATGGCATACAGAGAAATAATAAGCGGCAAGACTCACAAATATCAAATTACCACATATTTTAAAGGGAAGCATTAAAGCTTTTGTCCTTCTTTCGACTTCACGTCCGAGCCTAAAATTAAAAACTAATGTGTACAGGAAAAAATCGCACAATGATTTAGATATTAGAATAAAATAATTTCATACTTCTCCTTACATGCAATTCTTAACGTGTAATTTTATATTCCATACAAGTCTTTCTGACACTGCCTTTTGATAATCTTCGTTTAGATTTTTATACTGAAGATTTTCATACCCATAATTTATTCTTTCCATTCTTTCCATTATTACGTACGCCGCAGTTCTTTGTTTTATAAAACCATAAACCATATGATGGGCAGGCGCCACTGCAATTAGGTAAGCCGAAAGACAACAGAAAAATCTAACTAAATTAATGAAAAATATGGTAATTTTTCCCTTAGGCAAATATTTTATGAACTGCGTGGCAAAGATAAAGTGTTTATCTTCATCTTCAAGTGCGCTTATCATTATGCCTGTTAAAAGCCCTAATATTAAACTGACAATCATCGAAGCAAATCCATTATGTGTGTCTCGTCTTAGTTTCTCTCTAACGTTTGGAGACATGGCGTTTTCAATATTCCATGAACCAATTTCTTTTTCAACATGTTTTACTACGTCAATAATAAAATACAAACACACACAAGTTAGCGTTACCTACAAGTAAACAATTTTGAAACACTTAACTCGCTGTACAATTGTTGTACTATTTACATATAATGTCATAAGGTAAGATGGCCCATATTTGATAAGATAATCCAAATCAAATTTGTATATGAAGACGTATGTTTGAACAAACATAACAAAAATTAAAACTGGTTGTACAACCAGTAAAACGTATCTAACCAGCTTTAAATCGAAAATGTCAACTAGCAACCAACGATATATTTTAATATAAAACTCTTCCTGTACTAATGGACAGTAATCTAGATATATTAGCTATAAATAAAAATTGAAACATAGTAAATTTAAAAAACTTACGTAAGGTGACCATCTCAGACAAAGACACAGGTAATACTAAAAACCTTCAAAATATATCGTGTTCGCTATTCCTGAACAAAATGTTTGTATTGATAGATAATTAAGTACAGAGTAATTCCGTCTATTGGACATACCAGAATACCGTAACAACTGCGTATAAATTATTACTATTTTTATGAGGATAGTTATAATTGATCGGGTAACAAACGTTAATCCAAAATAAATTCTCACTCACAAATTCAGTAAAAAACGTCCGTTATGCTACACAAACTACTGTTACTGATACTACTTATCAGAGTCTATTACGCATTTCTTATTATCCAATTCAATACGGTGACAACAGTTTGCTGTAATTTTCACATGTTTTCTATTCAAGTTAATTCCTATTATTATCATGGGTCCTACAGTAGATTCTCATCTAAAGTGCGTGGTTTGTGATGAGAGCATGGAGGTAGGATGACATTCTACCTCCATGAATGACAGATTAATAGGAAATAGACTCGTGTACAGGCAAAAGTTAAGTAACTAACTTTCGGGTGATTTGAAGAGATATCAAAAAACAAAACTGTAAAGGACAAAGTCTAAAATATATAAAAACAAAAATAATGTGAACCACCCTCCAGATTCAATCCTAGTCTCTTTTGACATTTTTATTCTCTTTCGTTCTGTTTCTTCCCTAATCAGTAATCTTCTATTCGAATCATCCATACCTCTTGCACACATCCTTAACTTATTCACTTGAGTAGAATTTGCTTTAATAAATTATTCTTTTTACAAACAACATACTATTCTAATGCGTGACGATCCCGTAACTAAACCAGGAGAGAAGAATGGTCTCCTTTTTTAGTAGAAATTTTCATTATTATTATTATTATTTTATTATTATAGAAGTAGAAGTAAGGCGGCAAAATGCCGATGCACTTCATTACAAAGTCAGAGTGTGCATTAATACAAGATAATATAAATAAATATGAATACAATAATGATGAAAATTTAAAAAGAGCTAGAAAGAATTAGAAAAGTGGGCGTCAAGTCGGTTCTTGAAGGCATTGAGTGACGAGGCTGCGATAACATCATCCGGCAGAGTGTTCCACAAATTTGGTATTCTGTTTGTGAGGAAGTGTTGCCTACACAATTTGTAAAACCGTTCACGTACTAGCTTCAGATTGTGTCCTCGTAGGTGTAGATTAGTGCTGAGTACAAACAATGATAAATGACACGTATAGTGACCATGCAATATTTTGTATGTCTCAATTAAATCGCCACGAATTCGTCGAGCAGTCAAAGAAGATAAGTGAAGGGCAGTAAGTCGTTGTTCATAGGGGAGATGTTTTAAAGCAGGCGACAGTTTAGTGAAACGTCGTTGTGCCTGTTCTAGGACATGGATATCACCAGCAAAGTAGGGATTCCACACTGGGGCGGCATAATCAAAAATTGGTCTGACATACGATTTATAGATGCGTTCTAGCAAAGCAGGATAAATATTTTTAAAACTGATAGCAACTAAGTACCGCAGCGAGTTAACCTTTTTAACCACAGCACCAATGTGGGATGCCCATTTGAGGTCACTTGATATAATAACACCTAGATCTCTTTGTTGTTTTACAGATTGCAATTCAATTCCGTTAAGATAATATGATTTATGTGGATTGTTTGACCCAATATGTAATACAGTGCATTTAGCTTCATTTGTGGATACTAACCACTTGTCACACCAATCTTCCACAAGTTTGAGATCATTAGAAAGAGCATCAGGATTCTCGAGAGGATTTGAAAATATCTTTGTATCGTCAGCAAACAACGCGGATGAACAGTTAAACAAGGAGGCAAGGTCACTAACATAGATGTGAATAAGATGGGTCCAAGCACGGACCCTTGTGGAACACCGCTAAGAACCGGTGTAGCTTGTGAATGTTCAGTGAGAATCTTAACTGTAAAGGTACGATTTTGAAGAAATTCCGCTATCCACCTCAGTAAGTCACCGCGAACACCATAATGTTCCAGTTTTAGTAGTAATCTGCGAATAGGAACACGGTCGAATGCTTTTTTAAAGTCAAGATAAACAATGTCTATTGGCTGATTATTGTCTACAGCCTTGGTCCACTTGTTAAGGCACTCTAGAAGGTTAGATACTGTAGATCTACCGGGAAGGAAACCAAGCTGGTTGGGCTTGAGGATATTATTGTTCACACAAAACTCAGTTAGTTGTTGGCTAATTATTTTTTCCATAGATCTACAAAGCAACGATGTTAAACTAATAGGTCGAAAGTTTGCTGGATTAAGCTTATCACCTTTTTTGTAGACTGGAATAACTGTAGCAGACCTCCAAACATTTGGTACAGAACCCACAGAAAGTGATTGTTGCATTATTGCAGCGATTGGCTTAGATAGAACTGAAGCACATTTATTCAGTAGTATAGGATGAAAACCGTCTGGTCCAGGACATGAGTCTAATTTAAAGGACTGGAGAACTCTCAAAACTTCTGGTTCCGTAAAAATAACAGTATGAATATTGTTAATTGACCGGGTATTTGGACATAAAGAAGGCAAAGCACCGGGTGGTTCAGACACGTAATTATGTTCGAATTCAATGGCAAACGAATCAGCTATGGCTGATGGTAATGTCAATACATCACCATCAGCTGATCTTAAACGAAGTGTACGTACTTTACTTGTTAGGGTTTTGTTAATATATTTGAAGAATTCCTTGCTGCTTTTAGTTGCAAGATTCATCTCGTAGCTAGATTTTGAAGATCGAATTGCTGTCTTAAGTTTATTACAAACCGCACGATATTGCGAATAATGTTCGTTGTCATTACTGCGCCTATATTGAAGCCACATTTTTTTCTTTTCTCGAATTAGATATTTAATGGTGTTAGAAATCCATGGTTTGTCCCTAATTCTGATGTTACGAACTGGAACAAAACGCTCAACTGAAACGTTTAACAATCGCTCGAGAGTATTGTACATGATTTCAAGAGACATATTGAAGTTAATTGAATCCAGTTCAGACCCAGATAAGTAGGTTTTTATAGCTTCAAAATCAGCTAGACGGTACATTTTTTTACATATAGTTCTACCATGACTGCCATCTAGAAGGAATTGTAACTTTGAAAGAAGAACGACATGATCGCTTATACCTATTGGAGGAAAATATTCTGTAGTCGAAACAAGCTGACGATCATTCGTAAATATTAAATCCAGAGTTGAAGGTCTGTCATTATTTCTGAATCGAGTCGGTTCAAGTATTAGTTGGTGCAGATTAGAATTCAGATAAAAGTTCATAAAGTTTGCCGCCTGAGTATTACCATCCATTAGGAGGGGCACGCGCCAGTTGAGTGTTGGAAAGTTGAAATCTCCACAAATTATTAAATTATTAAGGTTTACACTGGCAAGTGTTAGAGCCTGAATTAATGATAAATCATTATCAAATGATGTTGAAGGTGAACGATATATGGAAGCCAGATGGAGTGTGATATTAGAGATTGTAATTTTTAGCCATAAGGATTCTATGTGAATTGTAGAATATTCATCCAAAAGATCGACATCTATTGGGATTTTATTTAAAGTGTTTAAGACATAAATACAAACTCCACCACCTTTGCAGTAAGTGCGGTCACTCCTATATACCGAATAACCAGGGATATTTATTATAGAATCAGGAATAAAGGAATTAAGATATGACTCCGTTATGAGAATAAACGTAGGAGATAAATTGGAAACTGACAAGAGAAACTCGTCAAATTTGGCCAAGAGGGATGCTATATTTGTGTAATAAACCGTAAGCTCAAAGAAGGTGAACAGAGGTGGGATTTTGTTTCTACCTATACGATACGAAGCGATAACGAAGCGAGAAATGACAAGGACGAAAATATATATTTCAGATGCGAAAGAAAGGGACGACCACATTTTATCGGTACCGATATTTTATCGTTATAGAAACAAAATCCCACCCCAGATTAGAATTTAGTTTTTTGTTTGTTTTTTCATGAATAATATAAAAACAAAAAATTTTTTGCAATCCTTATTTTATTAAGAAAATTAAATTTTTAGGCCGCCATGTTCTTTAGATGACCTCAAATCTGTCCTAAAGTTTATCAGTTCTGTCCATTCTTCAAACAAATGGTCTTCTTTTCACCCCGTAATTCACAAGTTGGCAGCTTTTAATTCTTTATTCCATTGATTAGTCCATATTCCCCTAAACCATGAAGCCTTTAAAAGACAACCAGTCAACAGTGGACAAAAAGGGGTTAATAATCAGTATCCCCTTCTTTTAATTACAAAAATTTTTCACAAAACTCTCTATAGATACAAACTATTCCTTAACTTCATTGCTTATCCCAGTTTTACTCTACCTTCGATTTTTCAAAACCCTGAGGAACCCCCAACTAATAGAAAGAAAACACTGGTAGAATAAAAATAACATAAAAAGGCTGAAAACTGCTTTCAGGTCACAACCCGAATAAAGTAACAAAATTTGGATTTATCGTACCCATAGTGTTAAAACGTAAGATAGCTACTATTGGACAAGATAATAAAAATCGAATTTGTATAAAAAAGACAAGTTTGAAAAAAAAACTTAAAAAATTAATAGCGCTTGGACAACCGGTAAAACGTATTTAACCAGCTTTGACTCAAAAATCTCAACTAACAAGACAGGGATATATTTTAAAATACAAATCTTCCTGCAGTAATGGACAGCAATCTAGATACAGGGTGATTTCGAAATATATGCGATAACTATAACCACAGCACCGTAGTAATGTTCACCTTTTACACAGAAGGAGAAAACGTTCAAATAAAAACGATATAAACACTCCCAGTTTCAACTAAATGTAAAACCAACTTTTCCCTGGATATCATTCGTTCATTCATGTACATAATCATGATGCAATTTGATCTTATTTTCGGCGCATTTATTCGAATTCTTTCGGCACTTGCGTGTTGCATGTTAGCAAAATCTTATGTATAACTTTCTTTCGATACTTCCGGTCACGACGGTATACCGGCTTTTTTATTGGTAGATTGTGCACATCTATTCTCCACTCCTCTTACCATTTGTTCAATTTAATTTTGACAACGTCCACATTTCCTGATTATGTGGAAACTATCCACTACTACTCCTATTTTTAAGTGTGATAAGAGAAATTTCATTGAAAATTCTAGACCTCTGTTGCTGATGTGTGACACTCGAAGAAACAGAAACAATTCATAGAAAATTTAGATGT